AGACCTGCTTCTGCTACTTTGCAAATGGGCACAGGCCAAGACATTTGATTTTTCTGCATCACCATTAGTTGAGTGTACAGTGTCTAGTAACTAGTGTCATGGGTATCAGAGACAGGGCATGGGTATTTAGTGTGGATCAAAACAGATGAGCATGATTCTGGAGCCAACAGCTTTAGAGGAGGCTTCCTGATCATTGTGGCTTCCTAACCATGGCAGTGGTCATATGGTTCTGGGTTTTTGGTTTTGTTTTTTTTTTAAGACGGGGTTTCACCATGTTGGTCAGGCTGGTCCTGAACTCCCGACCTCAGGTGATCCACCCACCTTGGCCTCCAAAGTGCCTGGATTACAGGCGTGAGCCACCACGCCCAGCCTGGGTTGGTTTTTAAAACTCCAACCGGCAGCTCTTTTGTTGGCCAGTTTTGTGTGTGGCTTTGAGAATTGTTCCTAAAGACAAAACCCTTTTAGAATGTAAGTTCCTCAAGGACAGTGAGCTTTGTCTGTTTTGCTCACTAATGTGTTCCCCAAGAACCCCAAAAGTAGTTCTTAACACATGGTAGATGCTCAATAAATATCTAATTGAATGAGCAAACTTGGAATCTATTTCTTTAGCCCTTCAGCAACTTTGTCGGTGTTTCATACTTTATGGTAAATCTCTCCTGCTTAAACTAACTAGAGTAAATTATGTGTCTGCAGCTTCACAACTCATATCAAAAGTAGGGAGTAGGAGTTAAGATCTTGACATAAAGCCAGAAGCTCCAAAGGGATGTTCCTTTAGGAAAAGGGTGGACCACAAAGAATCTGCCCATGAAGACAGGTGAGCTGCTAAGGACATTTACCTGCCTCTGCTGAGGCTCTGGGAAGGAGGGAGGGAGAAGTATACCCTCAAAATTTGTAATGACAGACCTACACCTTACATAGGTTTGAAGCTTAAATTTTTACTACCTTAGTGGTCTTGAAACATTTATAAATGTCAGGAAATTAACAACAAAGAATACATCTCGAACCAAAGCCATAAGCTCTTCTTGGGAGAGTAAAACAACAAAAAATCTACTTACAAGCCACAATCACAAACAATAGGGGGAAATAATCTACACTATAAGCAAAAGGCAATAGACCAAAAAAAAAAAACCAAAATTACCAGATAATAGAATTCTCTTTGGAAAAAGTTATACAGAAGTTGCAGCAATCTAAAACTTTTGACTAATTAAAAGGTGAACTCAGATAAATTACCCCCTGCTAGCATACAACTAACGAAAACTTACCTCTCCTGAGTAATAACAAAAGTCTTAACTTTCTTCCCACAAAAATTCAGCTTCAGGAAGTCTAACAGCAATCCTAAAGAAGTCAGGGAATATGTCCAACCAAACTAGATCAATAATCCATTCTGGCCATGGGAAATATATAAGACCTCATACTTACAGCAAACCTTTTATCACTTAAGTTTCTCAATGCACATAAGTAAACATAATGATGGTAAATCCAAATACTATGGTAGGCTCAGAGGAGACCATGCATCATCTAGTCACTCAATTAACATGTACTGAGTATCAAGTTCTATAAGCCAGTTACAAAAACAAGTAAGACAAGGACCAAGAACCTGCAATCCAGTGAGAAAATACAGATATGTATATACTCTTGATCGAAAAGACTTTTGGAAAAACTGATTGTGTTAGGTAGATGATAAACTGACCTACACATTAGTATGCCAGGAACCTCCTGTTTACCACTATCAAAAATCTTTCCTGGATCACAGACACCCTAGTGAAGCTGCAATTATGACCTTCATTTTCTAGATGAGGAAATTAAAGTTTGAAGAGATTAACTTGATTTGCCCAAGATAGATCCCAAAGCTGGAAAATCAGAGCTGAGGTTCAAATCCAGGGCTGACTCCAAAGCCCCTGCTGTGAAATACTGTGGTACCGAGGCAGGCATGGAATCACATTCCATTCACAAGCAGGTAGACTGCACAAAGATCAACCTCCCTGTCACCCAGTCCCCTTTATCACACACTCCTTTCTCACTCACTTACAAACCAAATAGAAAGGAACTAGAGGCCAGGCATGGTGGCTCACACCTGTAATCCCAGCACTTTGGGAGGCCGAAGGCAGGCAGATCACCTTGAGGTCAGGAGCTTGAGACCAGCGTGGCCAATATGGTGAAACCCTGTCTCTACTAAAAATACAAAAATTAGCCAGGCGTGGGGGCGGGTGCCTGCTGTCCCAGCTATTTGGAAGGCTGAGGCAGGAGAACCTAATGAACCCAAGAGGCAGAGGTTGCAGTGAGCCGAGATGGCACTGCACTCCAGCCTGGGCAACAGAGCAAGACTCTGTCAAGAAAAGGAAAAGGAAAGAAAAGAAAGGAACTGGGTTCCAGTAAAACACTGCTCCCACTAACGTGTGTACCTGGGCAAAGTTTCTGGCAAATATATTTACTTTGGAATCAAGTAGAATGTGAAAGTATGTGATTCCTGCACTCAGAAAGCTTAGTTTAAGTTTATACTCATAATATTATTTGCTCAAATTGTCCACAAGTATGTAGCTTGCTCAGGGATTGTAATACATCAGCATGTACATATCATTTTGTATGTATAGTGACTACAAGTCATGTAAATGTGTTTATAGAGAGAAAAGCTATATTTGCTCTTAAAAATTAACATAATAGCCGGACGCGGTGGTTCAAGCCTGTAATCCCAGCACTTTGGGAGGCTGAGGCGGGTGGATCACAAGGTCAAGAGATGGAGACCATCCTGGTCAACATGGTGAAACCCCGTCTCTTCTAAAAATACAAAACATTAGCTGGGCATGGTGGTGTGTGCCTGTAATCCCAGCTACTCAGGAGGCTGAGGCAGGAGAATTGCCTGAACCCAGGAGGCGGAGGTTGCGGTGAGCTGAGATTGTACCATCGCACTCCAGCCTGGCTAACAAGAGCGAAACTCCGTCTCAAAAAAAAAAAAGAAAAAAAAAAAAATTAACATAATAGTTCATACAGCTGTGCTAAATTTCCTTTACCTTATCTACGGAGGAAAAAAATAAAATGTTTACTAAATAAGAGTATAACCAAGACCCTAAAGTGTTACTGGTTAAACTATGAAGAACTCTTTCAAAGAAGCCTCAAACACTTAGAAGCATCTATGTACATGCAAAACCAAGACTCAGGCAATTGCAAATTCCTTAAGGACCAATACTAGGTAATATATTGTGGTTCTAGTCTTTAATGTGTAAGTTTAAATGGTAATACAACATTCCTTGAAAAATGCTCTGTATTTAAGATCTTATGCTAGTTCTGTGTGGCCTTCCCTCTACTCCTTCAGATATTCCAAATTATAGCTTTACTGTGGACTATGGAATTTAAGAAATAAAAGAATCAAAATTCTGAGAGTTAAGCCAAATACGAAAAAGCAGGAGAGCAGTGTAATGGAGGAAAGCAGATGGAACAGTTCAAATCCTGAGATAAGATATTACAATCTTAAAATGAGGCAAGGAAGAAATCCAAGAGAAACATTACTAAAAATAAATATCCATTTTAATCAATGTCTTATTTTCTTCCATTAATTATTTTCATCCCTTTTGAAGTTGGAAGAATTTTATGAGGAGGATCAAGAGAAAGGGGTACACAATTCCAAAATTTAAAATTTCTGGCCAGGTTCGGTAGCTCACACACCTGTAATCCCAGCACTTTGGGAGGCCAAGGCAGGTGGATCACTTGAGGTCAGGAGTTTGAGACCAGCCTGGCCAACATGATGAAACCCTGTCTACTAAAATTACAAAATACTAGCCAGGCACGGTGGCGTCCACCTGTAATTCCAGCTACTCAGGAGGCTGAAGCAGAATTGCTTGAAACTGGAGGCGGAGGTTGCAGTGAGCCACGATTTTTCCACTGGACTCCAGCCTGGGCGACAGAGCAAGGCTCTGTATCAAAATAAAATAAAATTTCCTACAGCCCAATGGAAAATTAAGAATAGACAGACAACTCTATTCCTACCCTCCAAATAACAATGAAAGTTCTTCATGTAGACTGAGGAACAGGGGGTAAAATAAATTGGAAGATAAATTTACACAAAGATCTTTAAAGTTCCACACCCTCAACCATTCAAGGCACTGTACATTAAGGAAGGGACAGATACACTCTCCCCACACACCTTAAAGAGCAAAACGGAGTAGATGGAGAGAATATCAAAACTGCATTAAAGATTGCTTCACTCTGTTACAAAACTCTAAATATAGACAGTCAGTGATAAATGAGTGTTCTGGTTAGGGAAAAGGCTCATTCTATGTCCACCCCTTTCCCTTTTAGTTCCAAGAACCTTGTACACATAATGACTTATAGCCATTGCTAGAGCTTAAAAGTTAGAATTCTCCTACTTAATGCCTATTGGGAACTACAATAATAGTTTCTGATTCTATTCATCTACACTACTTTCTAAAGCTATCTTGCTCTTCAGTTTTCTTAAACTAGCCAATTTAACCTTAGCTATTCCACACTTGTATACCCACGCAAAACCCCTATAATCACGCTTATCCAGCTTCTGTTGCATCCCCATCCCTAGTAGCATAATTCTATACATCTGGGGGCACACAAATAGCCAGTATGTCCCGCCTACTTGAAAGTTGAAGGTCAGGTGCGGTGCCTTAGGCCAGGCATGATGGCTCATGCCTGTAATCCCAGCCCTTTGGGAGGCTGAGGTGGGTGGATCACCAGAGGTCAGGAGTTCAAGATCAGCCTGGCCAACATGGTGAAACCCTGTCTCTACTAAAAATACAAAACATAAGCCAGGTATGGTGGTGCGCACCTGTAATCCCAGCTACTTGGGAGTCTGAGGCACGAGAATCACTTGAACCCGGGAGGCAGAGGCTACAGTGAGACGAGATTGCACCACTGCACTATAGCCTGGTGACAGAGCCAAACTCCATCTCAAAAAAAAAAGTTTAATGATATGAAAGGCAAGAAGCTGTTGTAATTTTTATACCTTTTGTATAATCACTGATCATCTTTAAAGAACCAGAAGCCTTATAGTTAAACAAAGGAGTGTAGACACTAAGAAACCCCAAACTATATTTTTTTGAGATGAAGTCTCACTCTGTCACCCAGGCTGAAGTGCAGTGGTTCCATCTCAGCTCACTGCAACCTCCACCTCCCAGGTTCAACAATTCTCCTGCCTCAGCCTCCCAAGTAGCTGGGACTATAGGCGTGCACCACCATGCCTGGCTAATTTTTGTATTTTTAGTAGCGATGGGGTTTCTCCATGTTGGCCAGGCTTATCTCAAACTCCTGACCTCAGGTGATGCTCCCACCTCAGCCTCCCAAAGTACTGGAATTATAGGCATGAGTCACCGTAACTGGCCCCAAACTATCTTTAAATGTACCATTTCTTAACTCATTTTAATTAAGAACACATAAAGCAATAACTTCCCTAATACAAGGAAAGCCTAAATAAAAACTATCTGCTGATGTAACCTCCAAAAAATAAGAAGAATGAAATAAATAAGACCCCTGATAAGTCTTTAGACAAAAGCTACTCACTGAACAGTGAGTAATTTAACCTTAACTAGCTAAGGCTCAAAAATGTTGCCCGGTTCCTCAGTGTTCGGATCGCTGAAAAGATAGTGAAAGTTTCCCCTGCCCATCCTGACATTTTGCCAGGGTTTTAGCAGCAGTCGTTGGCTTATCTATATAGACATATGTTACTCAGTGAAGGTGAACTGTTTAGCTTATTCCTGTTTGCATAGAACTCAATATTTAGAATTGTAATTGGATCTGTCTAGTGTTTAAGGAAACCAGAAGAGCAACAACAAAACCGTTCAAATCATATAAGCCTACGTAGTTAGACAACCAGGGTTACTACTGGGTACTTCTTATTCTAAATCCTATACTCAAGGCCCCTAATCTGCTTAAGTTTTTATAAGTCAAAATCATTCCCTTTGAAAGGGCTCATTCACAGGTGACTTCAAGAGCAACTGAGGAGAAAGTCAGTCACCTAAGTCATTAAGCCTCACGTCTGTGGAGCACAAACTCATTGATCAAAGCACCATAATGATTTTGATGCTGGACTCAAGAATCTTCACTAATTGTAGATGGAATGGCTGCTTTTCTCAATCCTATTTTTAGTTATAATTAAGTGCCCAAAAGGTAGGGGGTGGGCACAATTTTACCAAGGAAGAGAATTTTAACCCATCATTTGGTAAAGTTAGCAAATGATGAGCTGAGTTCCCTGGACGCTCTAGGGCGGCTGCAGAACTAGACATTCCCTTAAATTGTATGCCAAAGTATGTGTGTATGTGCATATTTCTGGGGAAAAGGTCTGTACTTTGTATAAGATTCTTAAGTGACATGTAAACAAAACTTTACGAATCACAGACCTATAGGATTTCTTTGCAGTCATACAAAAGCACTTTCATAGTATGCGTGCCAGTCACTTTCATTCGCACCTGTGAGCATTCACAGGTTTCAGTCCAAAACATATTAACATCCCTGACTACAGTAAAGGTCTTGGGGCCCTATCTATGTCCCATACCTTTTTACTGTTTCTAAATCAATTAAGTAGCGTGGTGCATACAGTGGGTTAATAGGTCTCCAGAATTATCTGCTGAGAGTTCAGGTCTTCACACTGAGGCCTCAGAGAGAAGACAGACAGTAGACTCTGACCTTTGGCTCTTATCTCATTCTCTTTGGAACCTTAGTTTCCAAAGGAAAATATTGATAATTATCTGCCCCACATTTCACACAATTGTTGAGAGTGACAATCTTGAACCAAAGATGATGTAGGGTATCTTATTTTTGTTAGAGCAGAGGTTGCAAACCATTTTTGACTACGTATTCTATGAAAATGTTGAGCATACCTCCCCTAATTTATATTTACTTATAAATTATATATATTACTAAAAATATACATGAAATGCATATAAAAGTAAATTTAAGTATATGCATATTCAGTCATATATATGCATCAATTAAAGAATATATATATGCATATTCAGTCATATACATATATATGTGTGTGTGTGTGTGTGTGCACGCACGTATGTGTGTCTGTATAAGTCCTGCTGCATCCCAGCGCATGGCTACATGCAGTTTACCTTGAGGACTACCACTTTAGAATATATAATTTTCAGCCAGCCATGGTGGCTCATGCCTGTAATACCAGCACTTTGGGAGGCCGAGGCAGGCGGATCACGAGGTCAAGAGATCAAGACCATCCTGGCCAACATGATGAGACCCCGTCTCTGCTAAAAATACAAAACTTAGCTGGGTGTAATGGCACGCGCCTGTAGTCCCAGCTACTTGGGAGGTTGCGGCAAGAGAATCACTGGAACCCAGGAGGCGGCGGTTGCAGTGAGCTGAGATTGTACCACTGCACTCCAGCTTAGCAACAGGGCAAGACTCTATCTCAAAAAATAAAAATAAAAAATATAATTTTCTTTGTGGTTCTCTAATTTCTTCTTCCTTCAAACACTCCACCCTCAGTCTTTGTACTCTAAACCTTCTGGTTTTCTTCCTCTGAACATTCTCTTTCAGCAGTTTACTTCCTGCTTCCATCTTTTAAATATGAGCTTTCATATTCAGTTTTCTGCTCTTCTGGGGACACCCTCCCGTGGCAATGTCATCTTACCCACTGACCCACAGCAGAAATCTGTGCTTGTTCCTTCTGTGTTCATCTGCAACTACCAAAATTTATGTTTGAATCAAAAGAGCTCACTATTATTAGCAAATCACCTAGTCCACCCTACTCACACGTCAACACCCATACAAAATCCCTATCATTGCTTATCCAGCTTCTGCTGAATCACAACCTCTAGTAATATAATTCTAAACATCTGGAGGATACAGAACATTTTCAAATGGCTCTACTTTTTGGAAATTCTACTTCTATTAAGCTGAAACTACTTTCTTATAACTTCCACATTGATTCCAGTTCGTCTTCTGAGGCTTTACAAATGGTCCATCATCTCCCACACTAAGACGAAATCAGATGCATCATCTTTGTAACCTTGAAATTCAGTGGCATGATGACTTTAAGTACAATAGCGCAAGTGAACATCGGAGCTAGTCCATGCCCTATAAATCAAAACAGACACTGAACATGACAGGTTCATGTCAGGGCAAGCACAGACGTTGTCTGGGGTAAGGTGTAATTTATTAGATAGGATATATAATTATATAATTGCAAAAACCACAATCACTTTTGCACCAACCTAATAAACAGATAATACCAGATATTTTAAAAGTGTGTGGGTCTCAAGCTGATGGATAATACTCCAAAGTCTGAACATGCCAACCATTTGGGAGATCGCTCCTCAGTTGCCAGGGCCTGTTCACTCTGTGTTTGGAATGCCCCCCCTCCCAGTCCTTTTACTACTCTTAATCAGCTGTCATTAACTGATTACACTGATGCTAAAATACAGTTATTCTATCAATCCGAGCTAGTCATGTAAACAAAACAAAAACATTCTGCTGTAGAATAAGACATAAAGTGCTTATCTAGCCCCTAGGAACTTCCGTGTACTCAAGTGTTTGGCCATGTAGTTGGGAGAGTTGATGGCCAGAAAGAACACGACTAAGAGTACCCAGTAAAAAGCCAAGGAAGACCCTGAAGGAGAACATAAGTGAGACTAGGTCTGCTGGCTAGTTTAGAGCCACTCCCTTGTAATGAGTGGACCATAAAAACTTCCTGTATCTAGCTTTGATGAGGAAGAGCTTGGTATGTAAAGAAGCTTTGAGAGTTCTTAACGATGTTGACACAGGAATTCTCTCAGCCCCTTTGCTGGATTCACAGCAGGGGCACCCCTTCTACTCAGCCGGCTGTGCTCAGCCCCTTAGGGGAGGGAGCATGTGAGTGAACAAGTACGGGACACTCTAGGGCCGACACAAGAGCAACCTCTGTGCAGGGCCCATGGCCAGATGGCCAGACCAGGCCTGTCACCTCAAGGGGAACATGGCAGTACCCAGGCAAGGGTGCCCGTTACCCTGAAACCACAGAGCGGGTGTTCGTGTGCTAATTAGTGTGCCTTTAGTTCCACCGTCTACAGCCCGATGGACAGCAGTGTGTTAGCTCGGCTGGCCCCTGGTCCTATTGCATGGGGCAGCTGCCTTCTGCCGGCAAGGGCAAAAAGTCAGTATGACAGCCTTTCTGGGTACTCACAACTCAGTGGGTCCCGAGCTCTTGTCCAGCATCCAAGAAGAATGATAATATGTTGACAATCAAACAGTGAGCAAGGCGGGGAGTTTTATTGAGTGATGAAACAGCTTTCTGTAGAGAGGGGACAAAAGGGTGGTCCTCCAAACCAAAGGCAGGAAAGTCCCCTCAGTGTGGCTGAGCCCCAGTGTGGGGCTTTTATGGGCTCAGAATAGGGGAGGGACAGGTTGTGGGTAGTACTGGGAAAAGCAACATTCAATTGGTTAAAAGGCATTATTGAGAAAGAATCAGGAAAGGGAAGGCAAACAGTTACAGAAATTCACACTCTGGGCAACAGGTTTCATCCAGGATCAGTAGTGCAGTCTTTTAGCCTTCAGGTTGATTTTTGGTTTGAAAGTGGGGTTTCACTGTGGACCGATCCCTATCTGCCTAGGCATGTGGCTGCCTGTCACTATCAATGTTTAAAGAATTTTGGCTATATCAGACAAAATAGGAATATACAGAGGAGGATTGCTAATTACATGAAACAAGAGGGTGAGAAGGGGAAAAACATGTTTCAGACAGCAAGAAATCAGCTATTCAAATTGTTCTGGGGAAAAAAAGATAAAACAATCTTCAGCAATTTAGAATTCTCAAGGTCTGCCAGGGTTTCCTACACAAAGCAGGAATTTTGCCCAACTCCTGCAGAAAGTTTATAAAAAAAAAAAAAAAAAAAAGGCTTTCCCTTCCTTATTTCCTTTAGCAAAATTCAGTCTTTTTCTGTCCTTAACAGACTGAAGTTCAAAATAAGAGTAAAAGCCAGGCACAGTGGTCACACCTATAATACCAGCACTTTGAAAGGCTGAAGTGGGTGGATCATTTGAGGTCAGCAGTTTAAGACCA